GTCAGTATCTGGGCTTCTCCATGCGGAGAGCAGAGCTGTCTGGGTAAACATCAGGAGCCCCTCGGGATGGAGTGGTCAGTGGAAGAGCATGACAGTACTTGTTCTGTGAGAAGGGGGCCGGGTCTCCAGAGGTGGGAAGAAGTTCTGAGGTCCATGTGGTTGCTTAAAATCACTGCTGCTTAAGTGGGAAGAAATTTAGTAGCTTAATGAAAGGGTAATGTTTCTTAAGAAAACATGGTATTTTTCAAATAATTTTGCTTTGCACTTTCATGTTTATTGACATAGCTAATTTGCTATAATGCAAATCATAGTTGTATAAATATAATGAGATGGGCATAACATTAAAATATTAGGAAGAAATCAGGACAAATGTAGACCTTGGATCAAAAAACAAAGGCCACTTGCCTTTCAAACAGGAAGGTCTAACCATTCAGTCTTCTAGAGCAAAAAGACGAAGTCATCTGATAAAGGAGGGTGTTGTTGTTGTTGTGAAGTGACGTCGAGTCGTTTTCAACCCATAGCGACTCTGTATAGGGTTTCCAAGGAGCAGCTGGTGAACTTGAACTGCCGACCTTGCAATTCAAACAGTTTTGCAGTCTGGCACACACACCAGTAGGAGATAGATAAAATGCCTTAAGGGGAGTGGACATCTTTTACTTCTCCTACTATATGAAAGGGTGACGTCACAGGTTATGGGGTAGTAACCAGCATTTATCAGAATAGGGTGACGTCACAGGTGATGAGGTAGAAACCAGCATTTATCAAAAGAATCTCAGCTTCTCCCCCTAGGATCATGTGGTCGTCATTAAGTGCCATCAAGTTGGTTCCGACTCATAGCAACCCTGTACAGGGTTTCCGAGGCTCTAAATCTATGGAAGTAGAAAGCCTCATCTTTTCTCCCTCGGAGTGGCTGCAGACTGGAACCACAGGCCTTGTCGTTCTTAGTCCGGTGTTTATCCTGTGAAGATGTGTAAAAATCATCTCCAAGTTGGCAATAGAGAACCTCCTGTTAGCATGTGGACCTTGAATTGGTCTTTAGTAATAATGTGAGGTACATGTCAGAGTTCTGATTTTATGTCTGTTCTGCACATAATGCATCAGGAACAGTGAAACCGTCCCTTCTTTTGCCTAAATTACTTCGGTATTGTAGTTAATATATGCTCTGACCTTCTTCTGTTAGAGAATCAGGATTTCCTTTTTCTATGTAGTGAATTTTCCTATGGTTCTTTCATGGTAGTTTTTCTCCTTATAATAACCATGCCTCTGGGGTCTTTGTTTCTGACTAGTGGAAGCCTGTCTTTATTGTTTGTTAATTTGAGGTGTTGGGACCCAGAAGGCAGAAACCTGCACATGGCACTCACCAAAGACCCCCTTCCCTTGACCATATTTGTGTAACCAGAACCGGACTCCACCTGGCCACCCAGACAGTATTGTAAGAGATTTGATTGTACAACATCGAGAGTAAATCAGTCCTAATGATTTTGCAGTCATGGGAAGTTAAACCCAGAAAGACCACAGGGAACCCTCCAGCCACCGCTTCTTGTTCCCATAGTACAAGCCCAGGGTCACCCATCCAGGGACAGAGACAAGAATCCAAATATGCTGGCTCCTCATACAGTGCCTTTTCTCCTTGGTAACGTCATCTCAGTTCAGCGAATGTTGGGTTTCTTCCTTGTACTTGAGGACTTGCTGATGCTTCAGTGTTAAAGAATCAACCTCTCAGAAGTGCTGTGACTGATCAGTCTCATCGCTTACAGATGTGAACCCTGACCTTTGGAGCTCTTCCCAGGGGCAGCTGGCCTGTCTGGCGTGAAGACTGTTGGTATGGCATCATTTGACTCTAGGATTAGGGTGCAGTTTAATAAATGCACAAATTATGTCCTTGCCCCAATGTATTTTTGCTGCTCTTCCACGAATGGTAAGTTGTGTGTTAGTGGTATAAATTGGACTGTGTTCAGTATTGCAAAAATCAATAGTCTATGAAAAAAGCCCAAATAAAGTGCTAAGTTAGCTCGAGCTTTTTGTGACTTTTTTAAAGAAGAATGGCTTGTTAGACATACGGGCGGAGTAAGTAACGTGGTCTTCTTGTGAGATGGAGAGAGAATCCCTGGGCTTCCCCAGCCGGTAGCTGGACTCTCACGGAAGCCAACTGTGCCTGTTTCAGAGAAGAGGCCCTCATGAGGGAGACCGAGTTAGCTTTCCCAAGGTAGAGAGAATTTTGCCAACGGATACTTTTTAATTTTTTTTTTTTAATGGCAAAAGGAAGCAGCTTTTAGCAGGAGCCCCCTGTCTTTCCTGGTTGCTGTTTAGATTTGCCTTTGAGATTAGTCCTTTAGGACATTCGGCATCACACTTTTGCTCAGTGACACGGTAGTCTAAAGCTTAGGAGGTCTCACTTATTTACTTCCCATAATTCTCTATACTACTTTGGTGGTGGTTTGGATCACAGCGACCCTGTGTAAGATTTCCAAAGAGCAGCTGGTGGGTTGAACCATTAACCTTATGGTTAACAGTCCACTGCTTATCCTATAGCACCACACCAGGACTCCTTTAGAAATCTACTTTAGAAATACTACTTGGGGAAAAAAGAATGTATTACTTAAGAAATTTAGGTATCTGGCCTGTTTTTCTCTTGTCACTCAGCAACCTTTACGAGGTATTCTCGATAGCCAGGGGAGCGCAGTGGTTCTGTAGGAAAAGCCCAGGGCATGCAAACCACGAGATCAATGGTTAAAGCCTACTCTGGGGGAGAAAGATGAGGCTCTCTGCTCCCACAAAGATTGAAAAAGCCTTGGAAACCCTATGCGGGGTCACTGTGAGACAGAACCAACTTGGCAACACTTAGCAACAACATGATGTCCAAGGTGTGAATGACCTTGAGCAAGCACATCAAGGTGAGTGAGGCCAGCACCTTATTAAACGTGTGCCCATCATGGGGACCTCTTCTGGTTTCACTGGTGCATCCTTATCAAGATCAGTAGACAACCACCGAGGTCAGCCCTGAGCATAAGTATGGCTTTAGACTCATTAGAATAATAACCTTTATGAGCTTTCTACACTCTTGACGTAATTACCCAGACACAAGGTGGTGGTTGTTGGTAAGTGCCATTCAGTTGATTCTGACCCATAGCGGCCCAGTACAGGGTTTCCAAGAAGCAGCTGGAGGATTTGAGCTGCCGACCTTGTGGTTCGCAGTCCAGTGCTGATTCAGCGCCACACAATATGAGGTAGGTACTCTTACTGTCCCACATACAGGCAAGGAGATGACGCATGGAGAGGTTAGATAGTATTCTTATTCACACCTGACAGGAGTGGGGTTCAGACTCGGGCAGTCTGGCTGGTGAAGGCCCACCCAGGTCCCATGCCTTTGCATCTTCCAGGCTTGTCCATCTTCAGGAGTCTCCCAGTGACTTGTCATCATAGCCACGGCGTCTTCAGGGATGACTGTAGATAGAGTCTCTTCAAGCAAAGAAGCTAGCTGACAACAGGATTGATAGGTATGGAGGGAATGTGTGGAAAAATGGGAGTAGATAGTGTTGTTAACTGCCGTCAAGTCGGGTCCGACTCAGCAACTCTACCCTGTATCGGGTTTCCAAGGAGCGGCTGGTGGGTTTGAACCACCAACCTTGTGGTTAGCTAATCCTACAGCACCACACCAGGAGGAGGACAATAAAAAAGAGATGCAGTTAGAGGAGTGAAAAGTAAAGACAGATGAAAAGAATTTCATCTTTAGAGTTTTGCCCGGGACATGCTATGTGACACTTGATTTAGAAAAGAAATACACAAGCACACACAAACACACAAAAAGCTAGCCTGGGGTGGGAAGAGTGACAACAGTGTATCAAAATCTTTATAGTGGTTATTGGTGTTTGTTTTATAATTATCCATACAGATAATTCATAATGTGAAGGAAAAAGAAACACACATAGAAGGATTTATGGAGGAAGAAGGGCTGTCAGAACCGGTGAACAGAAAACAAAAATTAAGGTAGGAATATATACAAAGACTTTGGTTATTGTAGATGTCAGTCAAAGAAAACAAAAAAATTAGGTAGGACTGTAGTCCTGGT